TCTTTTCATCTGATAGAATCTCTTATTCTGTGTACATCTGAGGACTGAAACTGTTGAAGCTACAGCTTGTATATAGTAAATGAATATATAGAGTCATGACTTCCTAGGGTTGTTGACAAACTTAGTGTTCAAATCGTATTTGCATAACATTGAAGAATCTATGAAACTGCTCAGCATCACAATGTGGCCCAATGTATTGCAGGTCCTGTCTTGGCCTGAAATGTAACAGAAATGAGTAAATGTTCTGAAAATTTGGGCTCCATTTAATATCTAGGAATACAATTTCTAATCTTTGAGATTAATATTGATTTGTTCCCTAATATGTTTAATGTGGAGTACTTAGGGAATCTGAATATAAAATACCCACTTCTCCAAGTATAACATTTTGCTGCTGATTCAGAGGATGGGTACATTTTGTTATGAAATGGCCAGATTCTTCATAACACAAATATGCACCTTATACACATTAGCAAAGCTTTCCTTGAGCAGAGAGAGAAACTATGCCGGCTCCCATATGTACGGATAAGACTTCTGAAGTCTAGTATAAGCAAATAGGAACTACTAACTAGAACAAAGTTTGCAACACTTGTTGGACTAGTTGATTCTTTATCCAGATCAGTTCTGGATTGTCATGTTGCATTGACAATTTGATGCTGATTTTTAGCTGTAGTTTTCATACTGCAGTTTTCCTTCATTCCAGCCTTGGTAGCAAACCTGTATCTCTAGAAGCATGCACTCATGAGCTTAACAATAGAGGACTCAAGGATGATCAGGCAAGTTGCATTTATTGCAGCTATGGTAAGAGGTCTTATTATTATGAATATTATTATTATTAATAATAATAATATTAATATTATTATGAAAACCAGCTATTCGTTTGTCACTTTGTATGACATACAGATTTGTATGTCACTTTCAATATTAAAACCCTACACCTCTTTATTTTGTCCTGAAATGATAAACTTTCTGATACCAATTTGTGCACCATGGATTTGGAGAACACCTTTTTTTGGGGGGTGGGGGGTTAGTTATTCCTTCAGATCTTTTAAAATGTATGCTCCATCGAAGCATATAAATTGGGGCAAATCAGTTCAAACAATAGTTTGAAGACTGTAATAATCACAACAATATAAGAAACATACAGTTGGAAGTTGCCATGTAGGCCATCAAATGCAATCTTCTGTTCTGTATAGGAAATCAAGATGAAACAGCTCGAATAGAAGGCTGTCTAGTCTGTATCTTAATGCATTCAGAATAAAGCAATCCATACTTAGGAAACATGAGATAATTTGCATGCAGTTAATATTATCTATGATATATAAGCAGAATTTTGAAAACAAAACTTATGAGAAAATTTATAAATAGTAATTCAGTTCAAACTGAGATGAAGAAAATTTTTTAATTGCTATAAGGGAAATCTTCCTTTCAGATTAGTAGAAATGGGATTGGATATTTTGTTGACATTCTTAGTCACATAACTGTTTAGTGCAAGACTGCTACTGTATGTAACTACAAAGGGGATAGCTTTTTCAAAGGCCTTATTCCTAAGAGGATGTAAATATTGATTATATTTGTGCCCGGTTAAAACTTTTTTATTTATTCATGTCTTTTAGTTTGACTAAATTATTTTAGTTTTTAACATACATACATACACACACACACACACACACACACACACACACACACACTTTCACAACCACAACCACACAGAATACATACTGTTCACACACACACACACATATGGACAGACAGTCATATATATGTTGTGTGGAGGTATACTGTTTACCACTCTGGAAGTTACTGGTTGAATTGTAATATGAAAATTGTTTCAACAAAATGAAGAAGTGGAAAAAATGATAACTAACTCACTAGTATTTATTTCACCAGTATTTTTTTCTTTCGTCTCTTAAAATGTAATATGTCCTATTTAGAGGTAGGTCATTTCCAATAGCCCTTCCAAAATGTATTATGTAGAATTGTTTGCTATTTACTGAATAAGTTACTTATTTCAGGAATTCAGCCCTACAAAGTAAGGCATTCATTTTCCTAAAGCTGCAACCAAAACATGTTGATAGCATCTTAGGAATGAATATTGGAGTCACCAAGCAATGATCCATGAGGTTATGTTTTATAGATTTGAAAAAACAAAACATTTTTATCAAGCACAATATGGATGGTTACCATAAAGCAAAGATAAGCTTTTATATCTCTTAACTTATTTATGCAGTGCTTTCCATATCAAAAGAGTGTAATCTATGAAATTCACAAGTATTTTTCAAAGTACAACTTATACATAGATCATACAACATGGAACATGATACATTGAAAACAAACAAGAAAAGTTTATAAGATTTAGAAGCAAAAATTAACACAGCTTGAATACATTTGCCCCAATTTCTTGGCAAATGACTTACCTTGTACAACTAGTGATAATTTAGAGGTAACTAATCATATCTCTGCTCTTATTTCAAGTCCTCTGTCCTTCATCTTAGTGGAAGAGCAGAAAGTAATAAACTAACACAAAGAAAAACAAAATCCTACAGAGTATCTGAAACAGTCCTGTTCTTGCAGTGCTGTTCTAACTCTTCCTTCTGTATCCAGAGGTTAAAAGACCAAATTGATTTTCACTTTTGGTTTTCTACAACATAGCTGAACCAGTTAAGGTACTGTGTAGGTATCTAAAATTACCTCAGGGACTCTGGATGTTAACTCTGGATGGGGATCTGAATGTTAATCCTTGCCCAGAAATGACTTTATTTCAGAGTTCATGATATATAATGGACTTTTAAATGATCCAGTTCAATATGTTGAGCAAGTGAGATTGTTAGATTAAACTGGATTAGTGTCACTCCTCTTCCTAATCATCTTCCTGTGATGTTTATTAAGGAATAGAGTATCATGTGGGAAAGCCAAACAGCTGCCTATGGCTTCAAGTACAGAAGGTTTTGTGTGAGATTCACTTTTGGTTATATTTATTTCTTAGGTAGATGAGGTAGCTATAACTCCTATATGAAAAGTCATGAGATTAAATTCATGAGAAAACAGACGTAGTTTTAAATCCTCATTAAATTGAAGCTTAACAATAAGAATCATGACCATTCTAAAAATGTACAATAATTCCTAATATAGTTAGCAGTAAGTTTTGATACTACAGTATACACCAAGTAATTGGTTCCCAATTTTAAATACTAAGTTAATGCCATACCATTAAAAGAATATTGACCAGAAGGTCTCTTCTAGTAGTATGATTCTGTGATCTTACCCACATTAGAACAAAACTGGAGAAGTGGTGCTTTCTCTTGTGAGCCTTTTTTTTCTCTTTGTAGTTCAAAAGGAGTTTCTGCTGCCTCTGCAAGAACTGTATGCAGAGATAACTAGGAGAGGCAACATCAAGCTATTTCCCTGGAAGATGCCATTTTAACCTCTAGTTAAGCTTCCCAAGAAAGTCCACAAACCCTGGTGACTTCTGCCTGAGTTGTTATCTAAATATTGTTTCTGCTAGTCTTGTGTCTAAGTCAGTGTCCATGACATTTCGATCCATGAAAATCAATCACTCAACCTAACTGGTACTTTAGATAATGACTGAAAAGTTGTCATTTTGTGAATTGTACTCCCAAGACATTTGTCCAACTGCCATGGTTACTGTTTGAAGTAATTATGGCAGTTATAGCATAGTAAGTTCTCAGAGATACCAAAAAAATGCATACAACTCCTATTCCTACTCCCCATTTTCATACTTTTTCCCCCTTTTTGACCGAAGCAAAATGTAGACGTAATAATACACAGTCAATATAATAAAGTTAGAATATTATTTAAAATGGCAGCAGCCCCCAACCTTTTGAGCACCAGGGACCAGTTCAGTGGAGATTTTTCCACAGACTGGAGGGCTGGGACATGGTTTTGCATGCTGCCTGCATCCCGCAGATGGGATGTTCGCCTGTTTGTGGGACCCATTTGCTGACATACTGTGGACTGGTGCCAGTCCATGCACTGGTGGTTGAGGACTCCTGTTGTATGGGGCACATATATAAATCCCAATTGCCTTTTACACATATTTTGTTTTTCTTGATATTATTTTGAAAAGCTAATTGGTATTCTAATATAATATATTTTTGATCAAATACTATATCTTCTAGTTTCAGAGTTCTAGTGCTGGTTAGGATCAAAAGCTGTAGAGGGAGCTTTTATTTGCTCCTTTCCCCAGATTTTTGTTTCAATATGTTGAATGGGAATTAAAGTTGCCATAGTTTGCCTGTTTCAAATGTGCATGGATCCATCCATTCTCTCACCATCCTCTTTAGCTTCTGCTGGAAAGCAAGCACTGGTACTTGGTCTGATTTGATTTAAAATTCTCTTGTTTAGTGATCCTTTGATTTTTTAAAAAAATAACTGGCATCCTATCAATGCCATAGACATTGCAGTATTCTTGGGATATTCCACTTCTGAGGTTAAGCTATAATTATTGCATGCTTCATACAGTATTTATAATTTAAAGTATATACTAATATAATGGAGATATTTTCATGACCAAAACTGTGATCTGTGAGCAGAACCTGCGCTTGGTAGAGCTGGCACAGCTACAAAATCTTCTGTATTAAACCTGAAGTTGCCTACGTAAACCTAAGTTAGACTGGCAACTCTGAGATGAGACACGTTTTGTGGCCTGATCTGCTTCCTGATGGATGGATGAGTGGATGGATGGATCGTCTTTGTTTTCAGTCTCCATTTTGGCAGACTTGCACCTCTTGCACTATTATCCAATTGATATTTCAATACATGCAATAAAGCTCTTAGTTAAGTATATTGGATAAGCCATTTCATAGTACTTCTTTATAAGAGATGCCTGAAACATTTTTATTGGGAAAGGTTCAATATTTCTAATATTTGCTAATATTTATTCAAGACATTTTGTGTTCCTCACATTTGCCAATATGCGCTCTGATAATATTCCATATTAAATTCAAGAATTCCAAAATGTATTAAATGAATAGACACTTCAGTAATGTCCAACAGATAACTAAAATTGAAATTTTATTCATTTTAATAATATTCAGACAATTCTCTGACAAGACTTTACTGAAATATGAAGTGCAAATGGGAACCCTGTAGAATGTTGATAAAAATTGTACATGACATTTTAAGCGCCACAAAGTACACACTGAAAACTCTGAAAGTATATAGGCATAGCAACATGCAAGTGTCATGTACTTAACATTACAATATGCATTTTGTTCAGTAAAAATTATGAAATAACGAGAAACTGTGCTTCCATTGTCAGTGCTGCATTCTTAATTCCTCTGTATGGAATTAAGTGATGTAGTGTCCAAAACATAGCTGAAATTGCATGTCAGTTACACTGTAGTTCTTAGGCCAATGTAGTCACTTTTCAGTTAGCTACCAACCTGGGGAAAGAGTTTACCAGTCCCATTGGTCTAGCAGTCCTGGATCAGATAGGACAGAAATATTTTATGTGTTATAACAATGAAAACTTAGAAGTGGATTCCCCAAAGTTGAAAGCCTAAAAATGAAATGAATGGGGAATACTTTATAACTTGGCAGTTGTGGACCTATTTCAGTGGAACAAATGGAATTCACCACCTTATTTACTCATAAAACACCTTTTTCAGATTTGTTTTGGTTTTTGTTTTTAAGAAGAAGAGATTGAAAGAAGGAAGAGATAATTGCAAAAGACTTTGAACATCCCAACTTTTGGTGAAACTATAAAGTGCATTTTGAATTTAAAATGCTGGGAAACTATATAGTGCATAGAGTTGTTGTTGTTTTTAATAGTGCTGCTTTCTCACCTATAAAATTGTAAGGCTGGTAATAGAAAATGAGGATCTGCTGAATTTGTACAAATTGCCTCAAAAGAAAGCAGTCCTTTGGCATCTCTGTATATGTATGCATGCACTTTATAGTATGGAAATGCAGAAAATATATAAAATATAATTAAAGTATATACATATTATTGCTAAATTAATCAGATGCTTACAGAAAGTGTATAATTTGATTTATCTATGTTTCTAGAATAAAAAAAATACTATAGTTTACTTATCAATGCATCATTCTTTTATAAATATTTTTTCTAATTAAGACACATTTTCAGATTGAAATACTATAAAGAAATATTACTGTATAGTGCATTTGTGATTAGTACAGTGATTGTAAATCTTGTGCTAAAATAAAATCTTTTTGGAAAAAGTTGATTTCTGTATCCACATGAAAATGCCTGTTAATTGGGCAGTTTGTCTACATTCTAAAAAACGAAAGGTAAAAATAATTTATCTGAAAAGTTTCTATAGCTGTGTTATAATAAATTCAACTGGAATTTGCCAGGTTGGCTTCAGCTAACTTAAAGGATTGGGGCCAGAACTACCAGTGTTATCAATAAGGAATTATCTTCTTTCATGCAGGTTCTTGAGCATATTTCGCAGGCAAATTATATGAAGATATGTTTATTGCATGAATCACTGCACATTGGATTAGAAAATTTGTGTTTCTTGCTGTGTTTCGTGTATTTTCACATATAATTTTTGAAAACTAGAATGCTCAAAATGCATATGTAACAATTTGTTACCTATCACAGCCTTGAGATAGAAATAGTTTTGACAAGTGACTATTGTAGCATCAGTACCAATAATATGGGATATTTTTAAAGTAAACAATTGAATAATTATAACTACATATTTTATCTATTCTAAGATATGGAAAACTACTTTATTTCTCTGGAGTTTCTTTGCTACCCTGTTTTTGTTCCAGATGCCTATGAATTATCATTCCTACCTTTCCCAAAACATTTCTACGCATTTTGGGCTCCTGAAAATGCTGTACAAAATGAAGCACACTATAGTAATGAATTGGTGCACAAAAACTGATTACTTGGAGATGGGTTTGCATGTTCAAATGCAGATTGGACTGCAAATCTCTTGAGAATAAGTGATATGTACTTCATACTGAGCATACTTAACATTTTGATGTCCTTTCAGCTTTCTCTTTTCCACTTAGCTTGCCCAAGCATTTGTGCATCCAGCTGCTAATTACCACTTTCCTATAGGATAATAAATAAGATAAAATTGGCCATTAGGAGGATTTACATGATATCTGCAGCAGAAACCTGAGCACTGAACCTGTGGCTCTAATAATGTATTCTTAGTCTGTAGAATATATCTATACTATCTACTTTCATGCAGGACTTGGTACATGTATAATGAAGACAGTCAAACAAGGTTTAGTCTGACTTAGCATTGAATTGAGTGTATGTAACTATAGAAGACTGTCGTTTGCATACATGGAGATGGGTTATAAATATTCTAAGGGACAGAAAAGCTACATTTTGCTTAACTGTCACCTTAAGTGAAACTTATTGTAAAGGGAATTAACAAAAGAAACCTAATGATACTTGAGGTATTTGAAACCATTCAATTATAGCATTTTTTTTTTTTTTACAAAAGTGTAGTCATATTTAGGGTAGCTTGTGGTTGGTATCTGCTTTAGAATTAACCAAAAGAAGATAGTTTGGTAGACAAGATTATTTTTCCTTTTTCCTAATTTTTCAGAGCCCTACTAGGCAGTAGGGCAATTGCTTGCCTGTCTAGAATTCCTTACAGCAGAAAATATTCCATTAATTTCTTATTAGAAATTACTAGAGGAAACTAGCAGATAGCAGCCTAAGCTTTCAGTGTTGACCCTTAAAGCAGCTTATTCATAATTTGCAATGCTTCATAGTGCTGTTAGCTGAGTAGCTCTTAACTGAAAGTAAAATAATTTCAATCAAATAAATTATATGTTGAAATATGTATATAAGATATTATTTTAACAAATATAACATTAATATTTTGTTTAAAACAATGGCACAATGCATTACCTCAGTTGGCTCAATTGTGAAAAGTGAGGAGATTCAATGCAATCCTCTTGAGCAATCTGGAGACCCAAAGTGCATCAGTGCCATCAAATGATTCTTGCCAAGATTATGATACCTGGATAACCCAATAAGGGATCCTTTGCATGTAAGTCAGTCAGAAATCTCCATTATACAAACTATAGCCCAGGCATTATGTCCTACAAGCATAGCAGATACATACACACTTACTGCAATCTGATGTCTACAAAGTCAAAATCTTCAGGTGATTAAAGAATCTCAAGATACCAATAGAAGTACAGTTAAAAAATAAATTAAGAAACACCATCATTATTAATAGTAATAATAATAAATTTAAACCTCAGATTTATTTTAGGAATGTATTACAACTGACCAACAGAAAATAGATTAAGTGATTCAGTGCTTTGGGCAGTAATAGTGCTTCAGAGAAGGACAGCTATGGCTGAAGTTTGGAAGCTTTGCGAGGTTCAATTTCACAATATCTCTGTGATTTTTTGTTTTGTTTTGTTATCTCATTACTTTAAATGCTTTTGGAAGCTCATATTAGAAAAAAATGATGAAATTAAAAAGATCAATATTATATAAATTTATATTTGTGGGAAAAAATAACTTAATGAAAAAAGGCATTCTCTGCTGTTTGATGGAAGCATTTTGTACTCACTATGTAAGATTATCTGGGGTTATTGGGAAATAAACAGCAGAAATTCCAGGTGAGATACTTCGGTGAAATAAGGTTCAGGTTATTTCTTTGGCTGTCTTTCCACTGCTCACACTAAAAATACTAGAGCAAATGGCAACGTTTCATCATCTAGGAAGGATGCTTCCTTCCCTCAAGGAAGACAAAAACTGCCAGGTTTGGGTTAGATATAGATTTCTAAGCAGTTATGAGACCTTTCTGGCAGCAAAGATATTAGCAGGTAGAGGTCTGTGCTCAAAAGGTATTCGAAAGGAGCCCGATGACACCCAAATAAGAAAACAGACCAAATGGATTGATGGTTAGGTTTTAAAAATAACTCACAGTAAATTAAAGAATTGGGGAAATATACATATTTAAAGATGACAGTTTTGCATGTATTGTAATAATTCATGATTGTAACTGCAAGCTTTTATCTCCTACCTTATAAAATAATCAAAATTCATATTATAAATACATGTGTTTCCAATATCCATACAGAGAAAGCACAAGATACTTACATGTAAGTACACTGTGGTCACCTATATTTTTGCATAGTTTTTAGCATGTACTTTGTGCCACTTAACTCAAAGCATTACTTGGATAATTTCTATTTCAAGCTTAGTCACATAGTTTCTTAGTAGCTTATTTATTATTATATAAGTGTTCACATTTATTATAAATCATTATCTCTAATGATTAAGAAGATACAATTTAAGAACATTTTGGAGAAAACTAGTGTGACCATAATTCTTTGTAATTGAATGTTTTGTTTTGAGTTGATTAGAATTGCCACTATTCAATGGAATAATAAATGTAAGAATTTTATATTCCTCTTGGTAACACTTTATAATAAGTGGCACTAAATTACACAGTAACTGCAATGTTACATGGAAGCACATGTAACATATGTATGATCAAAATGCCTAATGTATGTATGAATACATAGTAAGCAATGCTTTTACAACAAAACATTATATAAGCTCCCATTGTTTCTTTTCACTGAGAGATTCATCACAGATAGGTAGCCTACATTGGGAATAATTAACTGAAGATATCCAATTCACTGGAATAATTGGTAATATGATTTTTCCACATTTGGTTTTAATAACAGGAAATTTCAGTGTAAGATGGTTTCCCTGTGAAAAACAGGTAAATGGTTAGGATTAGGGTTAAGATGGTTCTAGAAACTATTAAATTTACAAATGGCATTCCAGAATGAAAGATAACAGATCCATATATTCTGAGATGCCATCTTCTATTTTTATTTAAAAAAATAATGAATTATAATGATTGAAAAAGAGAACAATAGTAATCAGTAACAACTTGATGTGCTGGATTGATGACAAAAATACATTCTAACTTTCTTGGTTCAAATTTCATTAGTTGCTGTCTTCAGATCATGATTATTTATACCTGTCTTCTATGATAAAGCAGGCAATTAGATTATCATAAAATTTTAGCGTCTTATTCTAATGTATTAATCTAAACTTGGATTTCCGAAAGTGGATTTAGAATGATATAATCACCTTCCTTTATTATTCATATAAATTATACAAGGTATTGAACACATGCATTTCTCCCTGGATGAGTAAAACTTGTAAATGTATATGTCCCTCTTATTCATCCTATTACACTGAACATTCAGTTTGCACAAGGCCATTTTCTAACTGGTAGTCTTCCAGATACATTGGCCTACAGCTTCCATCATCCTGACAACATACTCTGCTATGCAGCAACCAGGGAATTAGTTAAGAAAACAAAGGTTTATATTGAAGCTTTAGTACATCAAGTACCTAAGAGCAAATCTAAGAGCAAATATCTTGGCCAACATGGAATCTACCATGTCCTCTCACTACCTGGCTTTTCCCATGTTTTTCTGAACTGTACTGGTAGAAAAGGCACTGAAATAGGAAGCAGAATTATTTGGGATCTGCTCAAGTGCTAGTGCAAAATCAACACAATTGAAGGACACTGATTAAAATGAGGCAGCATTACTAGAATTATAGCTCCAAATATAAGAGTTTTTACATGGGATAAGTAAACTCAGTTGGTTTCATGCTGTAAAATCAAACAATGGTAAGAAAAAATGTCAGCATTATTTTTGAAAATAATCTGATATAATATTGCTATTTTATCTAAATGGGACTGAATATATTAAAACAGAGAAAAGTAGAGAAAGATTAAGGGCCAAAATCCTTAGATTAAAGTTTGCTCATTTATGGAATGTATCATTTTAAATAAAGTATATTTTTTATTCTGTTCCAAAAGCTTCCTTTGCTCTCAAATACAAGATTGAGAACGTCTGATTTTACTGGGTATTAGAAAGTGATAATAGACAGTAATTTTTCATTCTGGTGGACTTTCTCATTGCCTTTTAGCCTGCTGTACATCTCAATGTGCAAGGAAAGATTTTTTTTAATCTACTACAAGCAAAACTTAACAGTCTAATTCCTATCTCTGTTGCAGAATTCCAGTGTTTTCTGTAACCTACAATGACTAAACATTTTGAAATGCTTACACTGAAAGATGTCTAAAGAAATCTTACTTCATAGGGATGAATAAGTAGGTAAAGTATTTCTATATAATTTAAACAATAGAATTGAGAAAACGTATGAATGTGTAAATATAACACCAGTAGGCATATAATTTTAGTAAACATAATCCTAATGCAGCAAGGCACCTCAACACATGTTTAAGTGCATTGCTGGCCTTTACCTTAGTTCTACAAATCAGTTTTTGAAAACATGACTAATGTTATAAACCTATACTAGCTTCAATGTGTCTAGTACTTCTACCTGATTCTCTCAAATTACCATACTAGATTATCATATTATTGCATTTTTTCCACAGATTTTTGAATGAACTGTAAAAAACAAGCATGCAATCACATCAATGCAGACGTATTTCTTTAAAATATCATACTGTATATGATTTATTATGTTAACACTCAACCACATCATATTATTTATGTTCTGTATACTTTGAAAAAGTGCTGCTTGATTGATGGTCTCTCTCTCTCTCGCTCGTTCTTTTTTTTTTTTCTCATTGAAATTAACAAAGTAATTTTTTCCCCTTCTAACAAAAACAATTTAAAAACTACTATTGTCTTTAAAAGGTGTATAGCCTTCGGATAAATAATCTGACACAATACCTTTGATTTCCATTGACTGTGACACATGATGCCATATTCAAATGTTACCCACCCTCCTTCCATTCCCCACACAAAAAATAAAGCCCAGGACTTAATTCTTTACAGTAGGCCATTATGCTTTTAGACTTCACCAGTAATAGTTTCTATATAGAAATGTATTCCTCTTTTTTGTCTTATTTTTTAAAAAGTTTGCAGTGCTTTGGAGATAAATAAGAATTTCTACAATTTTAGTCAATTATGTTTACATGGAACCAGGAAGTAAGAGCTTATCTGATTATTTTCATTTATTTTCATTTATTTGTTGTTGCCTTTTTTGGTCTGAAAGAGGAATATTTTATTTGGATTAGACTTTTTAAAAAAATTATTATTATTCTAAACTGTCCTTTTGCCCCATACTCAACATAATATCAAAGAGAGATCTTTACTGTGGAGCTAAAAGCATGGCATATATTCTTGATCATTCACCGTGACATAAGTTTGTACCTCACAAAATGCATAGACAGAAATTTAATATAAAGGATTAGTCATTTACCATATACACAAAACATAGAGAGTTGTTGTAACATTTTCTGTTTGGGGTTTGGCAAATCCAACATTGATAAGCAGCTCTGGAACTGCCAAATTATATATTGAATTTTTTAGTAACTTAATATTTAATCATTAATGTGGTTGTAAGACAAAACCTGAGGCTGTGCACTGGTTGTTAGCTTAAAACTACCTTTCCATATAACATTGTGCTTCCATTGTATAACAAAGAGAAATTAACTGGAACTAGAAAAATTTGTTGCTGAACAGTGCTAGGACATACAGACAAAAAATACTAATACATGTTATCTACTCAGAATATTAATTTAAGTTATATCTAAAGGGATATAATGGACATTAGAAAATGCTTACTTGTGACTGACTTACCTACAGCCCCAAAAGTTAAATATGTATCAAATAATGTTTAATTGGATTTATTATATGCACTATATACAGATATTAAAATGCCTTGCAGTTTTGCCCCATGAACACGTTCAATTTGCGTAGGCAGATAGACCCACATGAAGCAAATAAATTAAAAGGAATACAAATTATAGAAATATATATGGAAGTCTTTACGATTCTAGGAGCAGTAAAAGAGCTGGACAACCATTTTCAAAATGGAGCTACATAATCCATCACCTTGGATTCTGTGTAGACAGGAGTGTATGGTGTTGATTACCACACAGAAGTTGCTTTTAATACCAGTATTTCATTAAATAAAAGTTCTGTTCATACTCCTTTGCTGCCATTTGCAAACACACAAGAAATTATAGTAGAATGATTTCATTAGTGTTTCTTAGGGCATAATGTTTCAATGCTCGGCTGATTTTGAATTACAGACGATATATAAAACATTCTTTGTAAACCTCTAATCTTACTTGTAATGGTTTATGTAAGTACATTTAGGTCCTCACCTAAGAACATTTGCTATGAAAATGGTCTGATGCAATATAGGTAAGGACCATATTAAAAGAAAAGAAAAGGAACACTTTCTTTAAAATGTAGAACAACCAAATGTGAACAGATGATGATTAAATTTGTTAAGGCTGTATATTCAAGCACTGTATGTTAAAAGAGCAATGTATATGATGATTAGGCAATAAGAAATGTCCTGCATTATGAATGGTATCATAATTAAACAAAAATTATGTTCATGGCTGATTGTTGGTACAAACTGGCAACTGAGAGCAATTATGCACTTTAACAAGGGTAGAAAGGAGACATGATAAATTAATTCAGAAAGATGAGAGCCAGTTTTCTCCAAGAGTCAGCCTTGTGAGTAGTGGTGTTCAAAGAATCTAAGTCTGCATCTATATGAAATATTCTTTCTTCTCTTCTGCATTAACTTGGCTGCCTTCTGCATTGATAATGGCTGTATCCGCATCAGGTGCATCTTCAGCTCCCTTAGCTTCATTTGTTAAATATGTTCCTGTAGGAAACAGTGTGATTAAAAGACAAATGTTAGAGATACAGGCAATTTTGATATTGCTTTAGAGATGGGATTTTTCTAACAGAAAATTAATTGGTCTGGGTATAGACCATGTTAAAGTCTATATAGCATTCTACTATGAATTTTTCTAAGATTCAGTAATGATCCTTTCTATCATGAATCTGAATAGTATGCATGGTTTTTTTATTTGTTAAAGTAGTAGTAATTGTACAGTCCTGCTATCATGATAACTACATATCTATTGCACAGAAAGGGTCTGTTGTACCATAAGCTGACAAAAATTCATTAACAAGAAGCTTTGGGGGAAAGGTCTTAATTAGTTTTGGATGCACTGTGATAGAAAACACAGAACATTTCTTTATCCCCTTAAATCAATCAATCAGCATGTCCTGCAATTTCAAAATTAGCACTTTTGCAGTCTATTCCTTCAACATTATTGAATGTTAATTAATAATGATTAATACATCATTTAGAAGCAGCTACCCGTTAAGCCATATTCTTAGTGCTCTATTATGTAGATTTATTTGCCAGTTTACCATATATATATATATTTACAGAACAGTAACATATTTATTTTTATTGATGTTTGAAACAAGTCAGTTTCAATCAATGGGAATGGCTGCTTGGTTTGGAAATTGGAACATGTGTTTTATCGTTCTAAAAATGGAGATACTTAGATCTCATACTAGACTTCTCATATAGCTTAGACTTTTACTATAAAAGCTAGTTAATTAAACTATTATCTGGAAGCTTATTTAAGTTATCGGGACGAACCCTTTGAAAACCTGTGCCAAGAGCTTTGTTAGTCTTCAGTAATATTCTAAATTTAAAATAAATCAGGAATATTTTAATAGATATTTATTCTAAAGGACATGGATATTTCTACTTATAATGCAGATGGAAAGTAATATCTATTTGGTAACATTTAATAGGCACTGGAATATTCTTGAAAAAAGACTTGAAATTAAGCTAAATATATTTCAGTTTTGCAAGCTGATATTTAATGCATACCGTATATGTCAATACCATCTTAATATCTGATGAAATTAGGCATAGAGAATTGGTATATGCACATAGCAAATACATTTACTTATAAAGTAGAAAGCATATACTATTATTTAAATAATGAAGAAGAATGAAGTTTTAATCACAATTGCTTTCTCCCTGTATATCTTATTGTAATTAGTGTCTTTGAAAACACATATCACAGCTTTTGGATGAGGCTGTGGTAAAAACAAAAGAAATCACACTATGATTTAGTGAGATCCATGAAGCTGAATGTGGACTAGACATTTTCTATCATGTTTGATCTCTTTAAACTATACTCACAAATCTGTATGCCTGTTTACTAGCCTTTGTCATGGCTACTTTTATATTATCATATAAAATATTATATTATATTATCCCATGACTTGGGACCAGGTTATCTGAGGGACTGTCTCTTGCTGGTCACATCTACCTGATCCATCAGAGCGGGGAAGTAGGGAATGTTGCGGGTCCCATCCCCAAGAGAGACCCAAAAGAAGGGCCTTCTCTGTGGTGGCTCCCTATCTCTGGAACATCATTCTCCTAGAGATTAGAATGGCCCCGACTCTAATTGTCTTCCAGAAGGCACTGAACATTTGGTTCTACCAACAGGCCTGGGGAATCCAGAGCGGGATGGAGTCCATTAAATGGCTTGTGTGATCTTCTGTCACTGGAGCGGGGGTAACAGGTGGGGGGTTATTTTGTTATATTTTACTATATTAATTCATTTGATTGTTTTCGTTAGTTTTTATTGTTTTAAATGTGGTATTTATTTATTTATTTATTTATTTATTTATTTATTTATTTATTTATTATTCAAACTTCTATACCGCCCTTCTCCTTTTGGACTCAGGGCGGTGAACAGCCAAAATAAAAACATTTATACATAAAGTTAAAGTTAAAAATAGATTTAAAATAATTAAATAAATTTGGCCCGTAATTTAAAACTTATCAATTTAAAATCCGTATTAATTTTTAAAACCAACCATAAAATCAGGACAGACCGGCTAACTGAAAAAAATAAGTTTTTAGGGCCCGACGAAAAGTCTGGAGATCACTTGTATCTCTGGGGGTAGATTATTCTAAAGGGTAGGTGCCACCACAGAGAAGGCTCTCCTCCTGGGGGTCGCCAGCCAGCATTGTCTGGCCAACGGCACCCTGAGGAGGCCCTCTCTGTGGGAGCGAACTGGCCGGTGGGAGGCTATTGGTGGCAGAAGGCAGTCCCGTAAGTACCCCGGCCTAAGCCATGGAGCGCTTTAAAGGTGATGACCAACACCTTGAAGCGCACCCGGAAGTCCACCGGAAGCCAATGCAGCTCGCGCAGGAGAGGGGTCACATGAGAGTGCCCCATCGCTCCCATAATCCCCCGCGCGGCCGCATTCTGCACCAGTTGGAGCCTCCGGGTGTATCCCAAGGGGAGCCCCATGTAGAGAGCGTTACAATAGTCCAGACGAGAAGTGACGAGTGCTTGAGTGACCGTGCGTAGGGAGTCCCGATCCAGAAAGGGGCGCAACTGGCATATCAGGCGAACCTGATAGAAAGCCCCCCTGGCCACGGCCGTCATATGCCCTTCTAAAGACAGCCGTGCGTCCAGGAGGACACCCAAGTTGCGGGCCCTTTCCGTGGGGGCCAATGATTCGCCCCCAATAACCAGCGATGGCGTCAGCTGGCTATACCGGGACGCCAGCAGCCACAGCCACTTGGTCTTCGAAGGGTTGAGTCGAAGCCTGTTTCTCCCCATCCAGACCCCCCTCCAGGCACTGGGACATCACTTCCAAGGCATCATTGGGATGCCCTGGGGTGGAGATGTACAGCTGAGTATCATCAGCGTACTGATGGAACTCCACCCCAAAACCACGGATGATCTCACCCAGCGGCTTCACATAAATGTTGAACAGGAGGGGCGAGAGGACCGACCCTTGTGGCACCCCACAAACAAGGCGCCTTGGGGTCAACCGCTGCCCCCCTGTCAACACAGATTGCAACCGGTCGGAGAGATAGGAGGAGAACCACCGCAAAACGGTGCCCCCCACTCCCAGTCCCTCCAGCCGGCGCAACATGATACCATGGTCGATGGTATCAAAAGCCGCTGAGAGGTCTAACAGGACCAGGATAGAGGAATAACCACTATCCCGAGCCCTCCAGAGATCATCCACCAATGCGACCAATGCCGTTTCCGTGTTGTACCCAGGTCTGAAGCCGGACTGGACTGGATCCAAATAGACAGCTTCATCCAGGTACTGGGGAAGCTGTCACGCCACCACACTCTCAACAACCTTCGCAATAAAACTAAGGTTGGAGACTGGACGATAGTTAGCCAAAACAGCCGGATCCAGGGATGGCTTCTTAAGGAGAGGCCTCATCACTGCCTCTTTCAAGGCGAACGGCAGGACACCCTCATTCAAAGAAGTGTTGATAATCCCCTGGAGCCAGCCTCGTGTAACCTCCCAGGAAGCCAGCACCAACCAGGAGGGACACAGTCCAATAAACATGTGGTCGCGTTCAGCCATCCCAAGATCCTGTCCATGTCCTTAGGAGCAACAGGATCGAACTCCTCCCAGATAACACTCTCAAGGCCTGCCTCAGTCATCTCATCTGAACTAACCCAGTCAGCGGCCAAGTCTTCCTGAATCTGAGTTATTTTATCATACAGATACTGTACAAAATCCTCAGCTCGGCCCTGCAAGGGGTCATCCTGCGCTCCCAGATGGAGAAGGGAGCGGGTCACCCTGAACAGGGTGGCTGGGTGGTAATCTGATGATGCGATAAGAGCGGCAAAATAGCTAGATTTCGCCGCTTTTATCGCCACTAGGTAGGTCTTAATATGAGACCTTACCAGTGTCAAGTCAGATTCGGAACGACTGGCCCTCCAACCGCTCTCTAGGTGTCTTTTCCGGTGCTTCATCTCTCTCAGCTCCTCGGAGAACCAAGGAGCTAAGTGAGTTCAGTGCCGGGTCAGAGGCCGCAAAGGCATGACCTGGTCCAAAGCCCCGGCAGCTGCACTATCCCAGGCGGCCACCAGGTCATCAGCCGAGCCATGAGCTAGAGTCTCAGGAAATGGCCCAAGCTCCATCTGGAACCTATCAGGATCCATCAGACGCCTGGGGCGGAACCACCTGGTCGGCTCCGCCTCCCTGCAACGGGGTGTGGTGGTCAGAAAGTCAAGTCGAAGGAGCGAGTGGTCAGACCATGACAAGGGTTCAATATCTATATCCCTATATCAAGGCCACTCAACCACTGAGATAAAAATTAAGTCCAGAGTGTGTCCCCCTATGTGAGTAGGGCCGTGAATTACTTGGGTCAGGTCCATGGCTGTCATGGAAGCCATGAACTCCCGAGCTACCTCAGATGTTTCACTGATGGATGGCAGGTTGAAAACCCCCATGACCACAAGTTTGGGGGTATCAGCCGCCACCTCGGCTATAACATTGAGGAGTTCGGGCAGGGTCGTTGCCACGTGGCAGGGAGCCAGGTACGTGATCAACAAACCCATCTGCACCCCACGGCCCCACTTCACAAAAAGGGACTCACATCCAGCTATCTGAGGTACAGTGGTCTCCCTCGGATCAAGACCTTCTCTTAGAATGACCGCCACCCCCCGGCCCCTGCCCTGAGCTCTCGGCTGATGAAATGTATGGAAGCCTGATGGGCATTATATTCTGTAAACTGCCTTCAGTTGCCAATGGGCAAATAGGTTGCACTATAAATTTAATCAATTAATCAATCAATCAATCAATCAATCAATCAATTAAATACATACATAAATAAATTATAGCAGTGAACCACATTTGAGAAGTGAATAAAGTGCTAATAATGCTTTAGTATTTATGACAGACATATTATAATTTGGAAAGGTTAAAATAAATAATAGTAACTTTGAAAAAAAGATGAGATTATTATTTTCTGAAATAGCTTTCTCTAATCTTCTGTCATACAAATGTGCAAATTAATTTCCACCATCCTGCAGCAAATATGCCCATTTAGTTGTGGATGATAGAAATTGTAGTGAAAAAACTTCTACTTGGCACCATCTCAAAGAAAGCTGGTATAACTAAATTAAACTGAATTAGTTTTTCCAAGACAAAGATGTTCCTTATGATAATCTCAACAAGCAGAGAATCAAACTAATAATAATAACAACATTTTGTTCTTGAACCATTGCAGCAATTAAGAGAATTGTCATCCTCCCACCCATGAAAAGGAAGAGATTCTTATTTCAGGCTAACTGTTTAAGGATGAAAAGTTATTTAGAAACTTGTCTGATTTGCTTATTGAGAATTAAAAGCTGCATTCAAGTTTTCCGATTGAACTTATGTCCTTGTAAAGAAGTCTCACTGATTTAAATGGATTACAATGATGACAGAAAAGCAATGTTGCCTTTGTTACATTCTTCCATTAAAAATGTTAGATAAAATACACTAAAAATCCATAATGCAATTCTATACCAGAAGGAAATCACTATCCAGCATTCAAATGAATTTACTCTTAAATTGTTATTAATGGGATACAATATTAATAGCCCCAAACCATATTTTGAATGTAAGTATCTAGATCTAAATCTATTATATAATCATACAAAAAGTGCAACAGAAAGCTGTTTAGTTGAATTTTGTATGAAACGTTCTGTCCATGGTTATAAAAAGAAAAACCTAAATATCTAAAAGAGAGGGGGAAAAAATCAAAAGATGTAAAATAACTTTTAAATATTTTTTTTTAAAAAATACATCTTTTGATCAACCTAAATAAAAGTTAAATGAACTGTCTTGATTATCAGAATTGGCCAAACTAGCCATCGACTGAGCTGACCAAGTTCACTCATTCATTTTCACATATCTCTGAATGATAGTATATTTTCCTTGGAAATATTAAAATTTGGAATTTAATAATCGGTATTTTTCTCATTATGAGTTTTTCAACACATGTTTCAGGACACCAATTTATGATTGCTAGCAGGTGTTTGGGTGTTCATATACTTTATAAAGAAGATTGATATAATAAACTTCCTTAAAGAAAACAAGTAAATATACAAACATAAAAGTCTGTTGCATTGCACAAACCAATATCTTTACTGCCATTTCACTTGTCAGATCCTCTGAGTCACTGACTTCCAGCATGACCTTGGACAAATTACTAGATATTATTTTGCCACAAATAATCCATCTGTAAAATTAATGGGTTTTGCAGACACCACAAGGATCAAAACAAGAAACCTTTCCACAGACAAACAAATTCAAATGTTTCCTTATCAGAGCTGAGTTTTCATGAGAGCAAGAAAAGAAGATAAAAGTTAACTTCAATTTATTAAATCCATCCTACCTTTATGTCTTGCCAGATATCGACCAAGAAGAATTATAGAGCATAATGTAACAAAGACAACAACAGCTACTATCCCTCCTATAACAGCATGATCTGGTACATTTCTTCCAGCCAAAGTATTGGGATCTAGTGGGGAAAAAAGTAACAAAAAGGTAGATTATTCATGAGGGTATGAAATGACCCATGTATTGACACTGAAATTTAAAATAACATGAAGGATTTTCTTTGTGTGTACATGGAAATGGAATATGGCATTTTAAGAATTCACAGAGGAGTTATTTCCCTATTCTTTTCTTATCACCAATACAGCAGTGCTTGTAGTCCCAGAGTGATACAGCCCTCTGGACATCACAATACAAAAGCAGGACAAAAAGAAAAAGAAGAAAAATCTCTATCAGAAGTTAGTAAATGGGAAAGGTTTCTAGTTCTGTCTTCACTCTTCTATAACTGAATATCTATCCATGGTTATTTTTAGAAGCAAAAATAAGGAGTTGAGAATTGGGGATCAGATAGAATCAGTAGAATAGACTCTACATAATACATAATTTATAGGAATGAATCTCAGTGGGAATTCTTTATATATTCCTTTTGTCATCTCTATCCTCTTTCTCTAGAAATAAAAAAAAGAGGAGAGTATAGCTGAGCAAGTCCCAGAGTTGACTGAATCTGCATGAATTGAACCAGATAAATATAAATGGAGCCCTAAAGAATATGGTTCATTCTCAACTTCTGAATTTAAAGCAGCCTTCTGATTTATGCTGGAACAAATTCAAATAGCAGTTAATAATCCATCAGTTATTTTTCATTGAAAAACTTGCCATATTGACCATTTATTTTTGAGTACCTTGTTCTCAAGTACCAAACTAGTATTTTGTCTATTAGCCTTAAAGGCAGCTTTCTACACTTGGCATTTCTTAGATATGTTGGATCTCCAGTGCCAGAATTCCCAGCCAGGAGGATGCCATTTTGGAGACGATAGCTATGAATATTGAAGTGAAAAAAGCAGGTCAAGTAATGTTAAAATGTATTTGTTTGTACTTAACAAAACTTCAACTCTGTAATGATACTGTTAAAATATACTGACATTATGCTAATGATTAAATGCATGGAATTAATTTTTGCAAGTAATTTTAAAATTGCTATGTATATTTTGTAACATCTGACTATTGTAACCAAAGATTCTCTTTAAGAGTAGTGTTTAAATCCTGCATATGGGCTAAGGTTGGTTCCCATCAATCAATCTGAAATACATGCATGTTAGTTTTATCTTTCTTATAGCGCCATATCTTATCTCCTATTCCTTGTTTCCACAAAGGCTGAAGAGAACTATGCCCCTATTTTATTGAATATAATATAGTTCTTTGTACCATCCAGGACTGTATTTTATAAGGAATATGCATTATGCAGGGACTATTACTTGTATCAAAGCAGATGGCAGTAAAACATCCTTTCAAATGTCTCATCAGAAGACTGAAGGGTGGGGAAGCTGAATGAGCATGATGAGAAGAAATAGCAAATCAACTATGGGATTGTCTGGGCAAGAGGATTCCTCCAACCTTACACTATTCATACTCCATTTATGTGACAATATATATTAAACCTATTATCCAAAGTTGAAAAGAAAGACTCATAATAACTTTTCTATCATGGGTTTTTAAGATTCCCCTTTATTTTGGTAATGATTTGGTTAATGCATGCCTTTATTTGCATCTTTTACTTGGATTAATCCAGAGAATATATGGGAGACGCTGTGTGGAATTCCTGTCATAAATAGCAGCACATTTTTGAAGCCAGAGTAATACTGCTAAGGGAACTTCTGCACAGTCACTATTTTCACCAGTCTAAAGCTCACAATATAAGTTACAATGCCCCACAACTGTTCTTGCTATGACCATTCTGCCATTTCATACACTGTTTATGGATCAACTGGCACTCTCCCAGTTACCCCTAGAGAGCACAGATATAAGCATCTGGCTGCTACAATGCCTATTGTTCTTGTCCTAATTTCACCCTGTATTTGTTTTTGCTGCTTGTTCTCACAGATCAAAGAATGCTATGGCAACACGGAATACTAAGCCCAACACAAATTGCTGCCAATAAAAGCTGCCTGGCTCCAAGCTCTACGACTTGTGTTCCAGAACTGAAATTTCAACAATACCTCCTCTGCTCTTGCTTCACAAGAAAGTCATTCACTAATACAATATGTTTGGTGTCAGTTCTTGATCAAATACAAAATAATCAATGTGTTTAAGATGCCCCAGTAATTCAGTTGGTATAATTATATTTTATTGTTCTAGTTGTTGTTGTCATTATTATCAATATTATATATGTCCTATTCATGAAGGCTTCTACAATAGAACCCAGAAAAGCAACAAGAAAATAATTTGATAAAGCAAAAAATAAGGTATCGCTCCTCTCAAAGGCAATTAAAACACATGTAAAATGTCTATTAAATATGTGTACTAATAGGGTATGTTTAAATTTAATAGATGGTATAAAAACAAAATTATCTTCAAAAACAGTCTGATACTGCCACAGATGCATCCCACAAATGCCTGGATAAACAATCATGTTTTAAGCAGCTGTTTAAAACAATAAAATACGGTGCACAAGTGTATTTATTCCAGGACAGCTCTGAAAAGTGGGCACTGCTAATAAGACTTTATTCCTAATCAACATACTACAAGCCAGATAGGTGGACAAGAATCAGAGCATCCCCATATTAAAATATGGGTTGGATGGCATTGGAAAAAGTGCCTTTTCTAATACTTGCAATAGAAGCTGTTTGGATTGCATAGACTCTAGTATTTTGGAAAAGGCTAGAGATATATTTTAAAAATAGGTACTAAATCAGCCAATTTACCTGAAGGTAAATACATACACGTACACACACACACATATACACTATACCAGCTGCATCTTCTGTACTATCTTTAAATTATTAATACCTAGGGTCCTGAAGCTATACATTCCTGGGCAAGCTAATCCCCAAGCGAAAACTGGCATTGGTCCAGCTAAACTGTCTATGAAAGATCAAAGGAAACCCCAAAGTTATACAACTCTTCTTTTGAGGGAAATACATGGCAATCATCTTTCTCATTCTTCAGTTTGAGAGCACATCCAATGGACCTGGATTCAATTATAATCACTATAAAACACAGTGATTTAGATAGTTAAATTTTTTTTGGATGCTATTAGATTTAAATTAAATTTTTATTAGATACTATTTAAATTATTTTAGTATGGTACCTTCAAAAATATGAGCTGGAACTGAGGTTTTTGTCATCTAATAAAAAGCTTTACAATTAATATATGGCAAGCTAAAACGCAATCTCTGTTGTCAAACCATTAAGCATACAGGAATGTATTATGTACAGAACAATGTGTTATCTTGTTGCAGTTTTCTGATAGAAGACTAATCCCTTGAGTGAATTACAAAAAGTAAATGCACTTTCAGTTATCTTTTATCTTATACAATTAGTACTTCCCTGCTATGTTCTTCAGGCTGAATTAAAGATAGATTTTGATTTGGTTCTTTTCATACACACACACACACACACACACACACACTCCAGTAATTTGGGAAAAAGTAAGAGGGCAAGTACACATAAAAGCATGCAACTCCAGGAAATAAATACGTGTGGGATTATGTTGATAAAGAGGAGAAGCATTTGCTTGCAAATAGAAATCAAATGTGTTACCATCTCCTTTTCTATCAAAATGTTGATAATTAGTATCTGCATAGAATGTTAGTTGTATATTTAATAGATTTGAAACAGTTTGTTTTCTGTATTTATGTACATTTCTAAATGACATTGTTACCAATGGAACATTTTCCCCCCAAGTTCAGATAACTGAAAAATAAAATTGAAAATGCTTCTTTTTTTTTTCATACAATAGCAAAAATGGAAGAATTTTGAAAAATCCCCTACCCCAAAGTATATGAATATAAATATGTATAAAAAATACAGTATAGACTTTATACAGTGATATAGATGAAGACATACATAGATATAGATAACATAAATATTATAGATGATATAGGTACAGATATAGATCCAATTCATTCTGTACTGTCAAAAGATGGATTGATATGGAGAACATTCTCTCTGTGCCAGAACAAAAACAAAGATGCCTAGATAATTTTCAAAAGTTTGCAAAGAAAAGAGCCTTCCTCCCTCACACTGGATTCAGATTTTTCTGATAATAAAACACAGTTTTCATGCAATTTTCAGAGATCAGTTTTTCAAGTAGAATGCATGTGGCTTGAATCTTTCAAACCAAGACTTAAGCTTATAATCTTCTGGACCTTGAATATTTTTATTGATGTATCCTGTTTCCCCTGATAATAAGCCAGCTTTTGAGTGCATGGCAATAAGGCCAAGCACTTATTTCAGGGTTCAAAAAAATATAAGACAGGGTCTTATTTTCAGGGAAACACGGTAGATTCAGATATTATTTTATATAACCTTGTGTTTATCAGTTTAATAAACATAATATACTATTGGAAAACAAAGTTTATTATTAGTTTATCTCCTCCTATTTTCATGCTGCCATTTTATTCTATTCTTGACTTTGCATTTTTTCACAGATGTAAAGTCAGATATTATTTCACCTAACCTTTATATTTGGTAGGTTAATAAACTTAATATACTAAAGGAAACAAACATTATCTTAATGTTTTTATATTAGCATTATATTCTGTTCTTAAGACTTTGTATGTGATACTTACTAAATATATTCATGAAGTTTTTCTATCACAATCTTTTTTTTTCCTAGCAGCCTCAGAGACTTGCTAGAAACTATTTCTCTCGAACAATTTGAGGGGGAGTGAAGGAATATATTTATGCCAAAATGGAAAATCTTTCTATAGAAGTGGAGCCCTCAGGCACAACCTTTCCCCCATTTTTATGCTACTTTTTCATTGGTCTGCTGGAAAATTAAGATCACTTGACAAGTTCACCAAGGAGCCATCCTTAACAACCCACCTAGGAGGATTTAGGAGTTGAAGTCCCTACAACTCTCTGCCTACTCACTTAAGGAGCCTATTCAGATTGGGTGGGAAATGAAATCTCCCTGGAGGGCATACATGGGGCTTCCCCAACTTGTTCTGACTGATGAAGCTA